TGATGACATTGGTGTTAATGGTCTTGAGTTCAATATTGCTTCAATTTCCACAATGATCGTTTCCAACTCTTCATAGGTTAATGAAGCTGTTGATGTACTTCGAACTAAATGATATTTAGCTGATTTAACAGCTGCCTCCCAAAGACCCCCGAAATGTGGAGTTCGAGGTGGAATGAATTTAAATGTGATTAATTTATCACTGCATGTTTGAACTATTTTATTTTGAACAGAAGTTTTACGTAGCAGTTCGGATAATTCATTTAATTTATTGTTCGCACCAACAAAATTTGTAGCATTGTCACAATGCAGCGTTTTGCAATGTCCTCGTCGAGCTATGAGCCTCTTCAGTGCACCAATAAATGCATCAGAAGTTAAGTCGCTCACCACTTCTAAATGGACTGCTTTTGTGGCAAAACAACAAAACACTGCTACATAAACCTTGTGTGGTCTTTTTCCTCTGATTTTGTAGTGAACCCAAAATGGTCCACAAAAATCTACTCCTGCATTGTAGAATGGCCTTGAAGGTTGAACTCTAGCTGGTGGTAGCTGACCCATTATTTGTTGAAATGTTGTTGGTCTGCTTCTTGTGCAGCGGACACAATGTTGAACCGTTGATCGAGCCATTATCTTTCCCTTGATGGGCCAAAATTGAAGTCGGATTTGTGACAATAATGCTTGTGCACCACAATGCATGTTTTTTCTATGAACATCAACGAAAACACTTTTCACAATTGGATCATTATATGGCAATACCATTGGATGTTTGGTATCATAAGCTATAAGTGATGATGAAAGTCGACCTCCGACTCTTAGAATTCCGTTACTATCTAAGAATGGACTTAAACTAGAGAGAGAACTAGTTTTGTGCACTGTGCCATTTGAGTGTAATTGCTGCAATTCTTCCCTGAAATCGCTTTGTTGTATTATACGAATGATTACTTGTAATGATGAGTTCAACTCGTCTGGACTTAATATTAAAGAGGTAGTGTGCCTGTTGTCTTTGCCTTTGGAGTATTTTACAAATCGTAGTGCGTATGCAATGATTCGTTGCAATCTTGCAAACGAGTTTCTATAATTGATCTTATAGATGAAATCTTCAGTAATGCTGGTGATTGCTGAAGTTACGATTGAAGGTTGTGTTGAGCGTTGCATTTCAAGCGCCCTTCTTTTGGTTTCAGAATGATCAGTTATAAGATGTTCCTGAGCAATTGAACCTGGCCATGATGATTCGCTTCCATATAAATACAGTGGTCCAAAAAACCATATGTGACTGGAATGTAATTCCGTAGGTTGTAAACCCCTTGATAGGTGATCTGCTGGATTTAATTTGGAACTTCCATGACGCCATTGGCTTGCATTAGATATTTCATGAATTCGTGCTACTCTATGTGCTACAAATGTTTGAAAAATATTTGAGTTAGAGTTGATCCAGTATAATACAACTTGTGAGTCTGTCCATAAAAAAGATTTGTGGTTATCGTATGCAAGATCTTGTTTAACCTTCGCTAACAGTTGGGCTCCCAGAAGTGCTGCACACAATTCTAATCGTGGAATTGTTTGCCTTTTTAATGGCGCTACTCTTGATTTTGAGCAAAGTAGCCGTACTATGATTGTACTTGTTTTTAGAATTGCTCTTACATAGATTGCTGCTCCATATGCCTTTTCAGATGCATCTACAAAACAATGTAATTGAATATCTAATGGAATTTCATGGTTAAAAACATGTCTCGGAATGATCATATTATTAATTTCTTGCAGTCTTGACCGAAACTTAATCCATTCGGCTTCATATTCATGAGGTAATGGATCATCCCAGGTCGTCTTTAATTCCCAAATTTGTTGAACAAATATTTTTGCTGTGACTATGATTGGTGCTACCAATCCTAATGGGTCATAAACTCTTGCTAAGTCTGAAGCTACTGAACGCTTAGTAAAAGTTGTACATGGTGTTATACTTGTTGTTATGCACAAATTATCAAGCTGTGGTGTCCAAATCATTCCCAAAGTCTTAGCTGTTTTGAACGAACAAGTAGAAATATCCCAACAGACTTCCTGATCATGTGGTGAAATGTTTTGTAGTAATTGTGGGTGATTAGCGCACCATTTTCTTGGCTTAAAACCATATGATTTCAAAATGTTAATTAGTTGTTCTTGAATCACCTTAGCCTCTATCAGACTGTTAGAACCACATAATCCATCATCGACATAGAAATCTCTTCGTAGGGTCTCTGCTCCAAATGGATTAGTTCCAGAACTTTCTCTTGCTAAAGTTTGTAAACATTTGGTAGCTAAGTATGGAGCTGATCGAGTCCCATATGTTACAGCTTTTAGTTTATAAAATCGTAGCGGCTCTTGTGGATTATTTCTCCAAATGATTAATTGTAGCATTTGATCTTCTGGGTGAATAAGTATTTGCCTATACATTTTCTCAATGTCCGTTGTGAAAGCGTATCTTGGAATTCTGAATCGTAATAATATTGAGAATAGATCGCTCTGTACCACAGGACCAGTATGCATAATGTCATTCAATGATCGACCTGATGAAGTTTTACTAGATGCATCAAACACAACACGTAATTTTGTCGTGGTGCTATCTGGTTTTATCACGCAATGATGAGGAATGAAATAATGTGAGGCCATGATGTCATCAGGTTGAATTTCTTCCATGTGACCGAGATCTTTATACTCAGTGATAAACTGCACGTATTGTGCCCTTAATGTTTCATTTTTTGACAGCCGTCGTTCAAGAGAGAAAAATCTGCGTTGTGCGATTTCACTAGAGGATCCTAATGTTGATACACTGTCAATAAGTGACAATTTCACAATAAATCTGCCTTCTTTAGTACGTTTCAAGTTTTCCACAAAATGAGTTTCACATAATTTTTCTTGATCAGACAGTAGTTTTGAATTTTGTGCTGATTCTTCAAGATCCCAAAATCGGACGAGAAGATTATTTAGCGAATCTTCTTCTTCGCTAAACATACAACAGACTGCGTCACCTTTTGCTGTTTCTGATAGTTTGCCACTTACAACCCATCCAAGAGTAGAATTCTGGAGTATTGGTTTGTCGACTCCCAATTGGATTTGCCCTGACGTTAAAAGATGTGGATAAAATTCAGCTCCTAATAATACGTCTATTTTTTGTGGCTCATTGAAGTTAGGATCAGCTAATGTAATATTTTTTGGAATGTTCCATGAACTGATATTGACACATTGTGTTGGTTGTGGAGCAATAATATGTGGTAACACAAATGCTTCTAAATTTGTATTGAAATTGCTA